GGGTCAGGTCTTGGTGGAACTCATCCGAGGCTAGCGCCGACGTTGGCTTGCAATGTGACCCTTCTTGGGGAGGGAGCCTTGCTTGCATGGAACTGAAACCTTGCCGAGAAGTCAGTGAAACATGATGAAAGAGGACACAGTTTGGCTTTCACAGGTGTCCCACCTTCTTCCGCACAAACGGACACCGTTTTGCTCTACAAGGGTGGGCAGCCCCTTGCGATATTGGCTCCAGCTTGGGGTGCAGGCACAAATATGATTTCTGTGTGCTTGCAATTGGAACAAGAAGCTACTAGGGGCTCCTGGCCTTACTACTAGGAGCAAGGGCGCTACTAGGAGCAAAGGGCATTGCTACTAGGAGCAAGAACGCTACTAGGGGCTCAATTGGAGTCGATTTGTTGGCTGGTGATCTCTCGTGCTGGACTTCTCGTGACTCGTAAGGTGCTGCGCGGTCAGAGAACATGTGCCCGTGGTTGCATGAGACTTGCTGCCACTTGCACGTGTTCTGCAAGACGGAACAAGCTTGCGAGTTGCAAGAGTAAGAGAGAGAGAGAGATCAGATAGAGTGTGTGGAAAAGAAAGGGCATGCGGCATTCCTATGAAACATGAAGCCTTATCTAGACGATGTGCAAACGCTAACGTGGCAATTGCATCAAAAAGAGCTAGCGTGGTTGCACGCGTGAACAAATGTAAAGAAATTGCACGATTGAGGTTTGCATCAATTGCCTGTGGTCGGGTGAACTTTGCGGTGACTGGTCGCGGGGCTGTGCACAGCTGGGGAGCAAACCAGGCAGTGCGTTTTGCCGTCCGTCCGGGGTTAGGTCGTACTCACCATTTTCGTGCATACATGTCATGTTTTTTAAGAGCCGCCAAGCACCCGGTGACATGTCTTTGTCGCAAGGATCTTTTGCTTGCACGATCCGGTGGTGCACCACCATCACCTGTGCCCACCTTTTCACGTCTTGCCGCCCATGTCACCAGCATCAGCGTGGGCGCGGTCTCCTGGAAACGTTCTGTCTGTGCCGTTCCGCCCGCGTCAGCTCGCTGCGTTCAGCCCCCAGGTTCCGATCACGCCGTCGCCCTTACGGCTCATGGCCGGGTCTTTACTTGGGGGCAGCGCCTTGGTTGGAGTGGTGCCAATAGCCTAACACTTGGATCCCTGTCGCCCAGCACCAGGTTGGAGGCCTGCACCAGCTTCGGGCTGAGATGTGACCGATCCAAAGTCGGTTGACACTGCAACGTTTGCACATAACATCACATAACCATTTGTACTTTTGAAAGTTATTGCTGTTATTACTCGTTGAGGCACTGAAAGATTTCAGCGGCGCAAGGTTGCACAACCACTCGTCGTGGCAGGGGCTTTGCTGGGCTTGAAAGTCAGCAAGGTGCGTAAAGCTGTGGAGCTCAACAGTCGCCGAAGAAGCAGCAAAGGACTTTTGCATGGTCTTTGTTCAGGTTCTGGCTGGGCGAATTTCGAGCATTGTTGCCATCCAAGATGCCATGGGCTCAGATAGCGAAAGGTAATGGAGGTTCAATCAAGTTGAAAGCAAAGGCTGACACGCTGCTGGGCTGGGATATGATGGAGCTTATGACGATTCAAGGGAATCTTGGCTATCGAACATGCCATTGTCTATCATTTTCCTGCATTGTCGTTCCTTGTGTAACTATGTTCAAGGAAAGGCCAGGTGGACCCAGCGATCTACGAATTCACTGCTGCCTATCATGAACAACCTGTGCAAGGATGGCACACATGCGCGCGCGCTGGCTGTGCGCGTGTGTGATTACATATGCAGATGGGGCCACAGCAGGAGAGTCTCGCTGAGTTAATATGGAACAATCAACCTGTTCGGTTTAGGTGTGAAGGATAGAGGCTGCTTTGACGATGGCGTGTGGAGGTCTCACACCTATGTCTCCGAAGATGTCGCTGAAGACATCACCCACAAGCAGATCGAAGCTTGATTGATTGATTTTGCCTAGTTTGGGGATGTTTGGGAGACAGGTTGATGTGCGAATCGACCGGGTTCAACATGCAGGGAAGGGCATTGCCAAGAGCATAAATCAAAGAGCTGTGATTCCACATGTCATGCACATAATTAAGTCAAGTCATTGGTAAATGCTTATTAAATTAGCATTTCCTGGCTCAGGATTGCTGAAAAAGTCTGCACCCCATCAACCAGGAGGGCCGGGCAGGGACGGTGGACGCTTTGGCGCATTGCATGTGACCTGCCTTGTAGGTCACCCACCTCTCCAAGCAAAAGCCCTGCAGCATCCCCATCCAAAGTTTCTTGGTTGTATCGCTAGTGGATTGGTGGATCGACAGGCTTCGAGAAGGTTCAAGAGGGTCCCAGGTGAGGGGGAAAGTGCTCACGTTTGAATCATTTGAACAATGAAATTGACACAATGCCGCAGAAAGTTCGGATTGCTCCCAAGGCTTTGCCTGGGAAAGTGCAGAGGACCATGCAGAAGAACGGTCGAGAGGAAGTCATCAATTTCGGCCTGTGAAGGACGAAACAAGACACCAGCCGCAGGGTGTGCATTTGCCATTCACACACGCTGGGGACTTATTCACAGGATTGCTTCACACATTCCTTTGCAGCACTTGAAGCTGGAAAAGACATGGAGTTGCATTCGTTCTCAATTCACAAAGGCTGCAGCTCATCTTGGATGATCCAACAACCTCCAGATCTGGCACACCCTTCTCGCGCCCTGAGCTTTTTGCCTGGGCAGCGCAGCAGGCAGCTTCAGTGCCTCGTCAGCCACGTAGGTTGCTGCTTGGGCAGGTTCGTTGTGTTCTTATGACCCTAGGGTAGCATCCTAGAGTGGAGATTGGAATTCCGCCTGAGGTCAACTTCTTGCGAAATTAGCTAAGCTGCAAGATCAAGTCAATGTATGTTTACTCTTTTGATCTTTCTTGTAGTGTGGTATCACCCTTCAGCAACTCCAGCTGTCAAAGAGGGCATTCAGCATGTGGGAATAACAGAACAGAATCACGAATCTCGTGTGTTATCCATCCAACTAACCGCATCGCCGACAGGAAGAAGAAATGGTTTAGGGGGCAGATTTCCCATGATTTCCCCATCACAAGCTTGAACCAGCTTGCTCAGGCTCACAGTCGAAAAGATGAGGAGGAGGAACTCATCAAGCAGCACTCCCTTCAAGAGATGGCTGCGGCGACCTGGAGCAAATTTGAGACATGCGAGCACTGCTGAAAGGGTCAATGAGCAGGTTTGCAACACACAATAACACACATGTTTAGATTGCTTGCTTGTTCGTACTTGTTCACTGTGATGTTTCAGGAGCGACTTGCGATCAAGCGCATGAGCAACTTTGCGGTGGTGAAGGCCGGGTTTGCGTGTGGTTCCACCAGTTATTCCACCCATTTCGGCAAAGCAAATGCCTGTGCGTTGAGAAGTTGTCCCAAAAAACCTGAAGAATTTCTATTGAGTTTCTGATTAGTGTTGCTGTTGATGGAAGGAGGTCGCATGATATCAGATTGACAGCGCAAAACCCAAGCACATGCATCATGCATGTATATAGATGTATATGGTCGTGCATATACGTATAGATAGATAGATAGATAGATAGATAGAATTAGATAGATAGATAGATAGATAGATAGAATTAGATAGATAGATAGAATTAGATAGATAGATAGAATTAGATAGATAGAATTAGATAGTAGATAGATAGATAGATAGAATTAAATAGACAATTATAGACATGATTATACATGCAAGTGCCTAGCTTAGAATGTCTCGCAGGAGGTGGCCAAGCCTCGTGATCTCTTAGAGCTGGACCGTGAGATTGGGAGATACCGAAGGTTGGCCAATCCTCCCATCGAGTTACGCGGACCGTGAACACCGAGCGGATCCGGGTGGATCCAAGCGGATCCCGGTTCCCTCAAGAGTGGGGTGCTGTGAACACTTCCACCTGTTTGTCCAAGGTTCGCAGGAATTTCTTCAAGTGAAAAGTGGACATTCTATAACATTCTAGAAGGTTCTAGTGACCAAATTCATGACTGCAACCTTGGGTGGGCAAGCTTTTAAGACTCACGCAAGCCAACAAGGTCGATGCTCAAGCGTTTAGGGGCGTGCTTCCAAAGTTGACGTGCCCTGGAGCTCGCTATGCCAAAAGTGGAACCAATCGTCTGCCTGGCCGTCAGGCTGTGATTCCCCCGTTGCTCTCTCGTTCGTTTGTTTGCCAAGTAAGGAGTGTAAAGAGGTGTGTCATGGCCGTGGAATTGGTGATGTAAAACGACGAAACCACTTCGATAGCAATACCGGTCGTGCGGAGGTTTTGCCGCGAAGGAGTTAGGGCAGGTTTGAGAGTGGTTTTGACACATAATGTTCTTCTGAAACGAAGCCACACCAGCCAGATTTTACAAGGACTTCATGCGAAGCTGTGATTAAAACATGGCCTAATAACGAGCCGGTCATGAATGAACCACAAAGACTGGCAGCCCAAGCAGCACTCCAGATGTCCTATCAAAAAAAGTTTCCATGCCGCCTATATATGGCATCGACACGCATTTTGCTCAATGACAAATACGGTGAGAATCACACACCGTGCCATTCTACTTGCTCATATTTATTTTGCTTTCAGAATGTCATTGTGTGGACTGCATCCAGTCCCAAAACCAGACACCACAATTGAGACAACTCCGGTGGGTCTCCGCTGAAAGCTTCAATGGGTATATGTGCCCATTTACTCACGGCAAGTTTGATTGCAGTAGCTGCAGCGTTCAACTCACATTCAACTGGAACAGAACCTCGACACCTTTGTCACCGACCTTGTGTCAGTCTGGGATAGGCGAAACCAAATCTGGCAGTTGTAGCACACAGAAGGTTGGAACAAGGTTTCAAACAAGGGATCAGCTAGAGGGAGGGGAGTGCTTTTGGAAAGGTCAGAGTCCTGAGTGAAGGATGCCCTGCCTTTTTTAGATGTGGCTCAACGAGTGAGAGTGTTTGGCCATTTTACGATTTACCGCTCCAGTGCATGGCATCATGCTGTTGCACTGTGTCCATGTTTTAGTACTGTGCTTGCAGCTGGGTGCTGCAACGGATGCGACGTGTCGCCAATGTGAAGAAAGGCCGAAGGCTCCAAGCCTTTTGTCCTTGAAGTCCGAAGTCGCGATGAGGTCAGTGCAAACCTCTGAGGGAATGATAGGCGATGTCATTGCAGACTTCGCCAGCGACACAAGCGACAACAACACCAATGCTTCATGGGAGAAAGTAAATCAAAGCCTCCAAGATTTGGCCTCTTGGAGGCACTTACACGGGGGTCGATGCCAGCCTTCACGCACTTATGGCGCCTTCACGCACTCAGGGTGGCGGTTTGCAAGCATACCTTGAAACATCTGGAAACATCGCAACCTCTGTGATGATTGTAGTGCAATCACATCTGGACATTGTTCTGTTTCTTTTTTGTTGGGGTTCCTTCTGGTGCAAGCAGCCAGTCAATAGCTTAAAAGATCTTAAAAGTTATTAAAGGTTAAAAGCGCCCAGGTGGTCAACGTCATGGCAGCGGATGTAAACCAAACCATGGGTGTTCCAAATCCTGAAGGCGGGTGGCCGAGGGTGATTTGTTCATGTGTGTTCAATGTTTCTGGTAAATTTGCAATGTATTATCAAAGGAAGTTTAGTGTACGAAACTTCAACACGGACATTCAAGAACTGTTCATACACCACTCATCAATACACCACTCATCAATACACCACTCATCATACACCACTCATCATACACCACTCATCATACACCACTCATCCATACACCACTCATCAATACACCACTCATCAATACACCACTCATCATACACCACTCATCAATACACCACTCATCAATACACCACTCATCATACACCACTCATCATACACCACTCATCATACACCACTCATCATACACCACTCATCATACACCACTCATCATACACCACTCATCAGACACCACTCATCATACACCACTCAGCGGACACCACTCATCATACACCACTTGTCATACACCACTCATCATACTCATCATACACCACTCATCATACAGTTAGCTCTAGTTTCAAGAGCTCTAGCTCCAGTTAGCTCTAGTTGCAAGAGCTCTAGCTGCAAGAGCTCTAGCTCCAGGTAGCTCTAGTTTCAATAGCTCTAGCTCCAGGTAGCTCTAGTTTCAAGAGCTCCAGCTCCAGCTAGCTCTAGGTTCAATAGCTCTAGCTCCAGTTTACGTGGCAGGCGCAGCACTTTGTGAACCTCCAAGTGCAGATTTCGTGGCAGGCACAGCACTTTGTGAATCTCCATGTGCAGAGTTCGTGCAGGCACAGCACTTTGTGAACCTCGAGGTGCAGATTTCGTGGCGGGCGCAATACAAAATGCGTTTTCGAGAGGTAGCGGACGCACGAAATGCTGTGTTTTTCAACAGATAGGGTGGCTCCGAAGCTTGCAAGTCTAGTTTTGCGGAACGCTGTGTGCGAGACGGTCTCGGGTCATTCTCAGATCATGCTCGGAATCGCCCCTCCATTGTGATTAGAGGCTTCAGTTGTTTCTTGAATTGCAGATTTCGTGGCAGGCACAGCACTTTGTGCAGATTTCGTGGCAGGCACAGCACTTTGTGAACCTCCATGTGC